GTAAGAGTACCTTGCCCCCTTTGTTTTGACAACAAATTATGTTCTCAGTTTTTTATTTTGTTTTGCCAATCTGATGGGGGGGAAGGTATATAAATATATCTTTAGTTGTATTTCTTTTAGTATGAGTCACGTTGAGCATCTGATAATTCGTATAGGGGACCTTTGTATTTCCGTTTTTGCAATTCTATCCCATTCTTATATTGGATCATCTTTCTGATTTCTAAGAGCTATTTATATATTTGGGGATTTAATCCCTTTATCTCAGACACAGTTGCAAATATTTTCCCAGGTTTTCTTTAGTTTTTGCCTATGAATATTTGTGCCATGCAGAATTTTTTTCATTTTTATGAAATCACTCTTCTAACCCTTTTTAGAGGGATTTAGATTTTGAGTCAAAGTTAGAAAAGTATCCCTCTAAAGTTATCAAAAGTTTTCCTATACATGTTCTACTTTTATGGTTTCATATTGAACATTTAAATATTTGATTCATTTGGCTTTTATTCTGATATTGTTTTCCACATGGCTACTAAGTTGTCCCAATAGCACTTATCTTTTTCACAAAGGTTATCATTATACCAATGGTTTGAGATGCTGTTTTTATAATATAATAAATTTTAATATGTATTTGGGTCTGTTTTGACTTTTTAGTCCATTCTGCCCATTGTTCTGTCTCTTCATGCTGTTTTAATTACTGAGGCTTTATACTATGTTTCAATTCTGTCAGGTCTTATTTTACTGAATTTTTAAATTAAAAAAAATGAGTTTTGAATTTTGTTAGTCTTTTTCAGCATCAGTGGAGATTATATAAGTTTCCCCTTACATCTATTTCTGTTCCATATTAACAGATATTTTAATAGTGAGCCATTTTTGCATTCTTGAAACAAACTCCACTTGGTTGCAAATTATCATTCTTTTAATGTGCTGATGATTTATGATTGCTAATTTTTTGTTTAAAATTTTACATTGATATTCAGGAGTATATATATTGGCCTACTTAATCTTTGTCAGGTCATACTAACAATGTTATTCTGAAAATATGATGTTGGAAATTAAGAATTAATTATGTTAGTTTACCAATAAAATGGCTATAGCAGAGGACAGGACTAGTGAACTTGAATACAGGTCAGTAGAAAAATACCCAAACTGAATCACAGAGAATAGCAAAAAAAAAAAAAAAAAAAAAAAAAAAGGAATAAAAGAACAAAAGCAAAGGCCATGCAGATGTGATCCACAGTCAAAAAGTCACTATATATGTAATTGAAGTCTTATAAATAGAGGAAAGAATGGGATAAAAATATTTTAAGAGATAGTATCTGTGAATTTTCCAAAAATGATGAGTGACATTAATCCTAGATTCACAAAGCTCAGAAAACTCTTGGTGGTACAAATACCACTTAAAACCAAAGCAAAGAGAATATTATAAAACTAGTCAGAAAAAGGACACAGTCCCTTAAAAGGCACACTAATAATACTAATGGCAAATTTTTCAGTTGAAGTTAAGGAAGCCGGAAGACAGTAAAATGGCATTATTCAAGGGCTGAAATTAAAAACAAACAAACAAAAAAACAACAAACTAATTTAGAATCTTTTACCCATTGAAAATATCATTAAGAAGTGAAGAGAAAACAAAGACATTTTGGGGGGGAGAAAAGCTGAAGAATTACAGAATTATTTGTTGGCATTGTTTCCCCATATCATGTTGAAGAAGTCCTTCCATTGTTTTTTAGTCTCCGTTGTTTTAATTGAAAAGTTAACTGTAATTCTAACCACGGGTCCTGTGAAGATAACTTTTTCCCTCTGCCTACTTTAAGATTTATTCTATGTCTTTGATTTTTTCTTTTTAGTTTCACGGCAATATATTTATGTGTGAATTTCTCTTAATTTGTCCTAGTTGACTCACTGGACTTTTTAATTGTGAATTGATGCCTTTAATCAATCCTAGAAAAGTCTTACCCGTATTTCTTGAAATATTGCCTTTGCTTCATTATCCCTTTCCTCTCCTGAGTTCCCAGTTAAATACTCGTACACCATCTCACTTCATCTTCCTAGGCTTTTGTCCATTCGTTGTACATTTTCCGTATATTTTTATTTCTTCATATTGCCTTTTGTATTTTCTGAACCATCTTTTATTTCACTATTTTTTCCATAAAACTAATAAAGTTATCTTATTAAGCATATTATTAGAGTTTTTAAAGTTTAGGTTATTTTATTTTATTTCTATAAGAACCAAGAGTATGGCTTTTTTTTTTTTTTCAAATTCCCTAAATTTTTAAATGTCCTGTTGCTTACATAGTAAAACTTTAAATTACTAAGCATAGTTGGTTTATAGTCTATATGTGATGACTCTACTATCTGATTCTTTGTGGATCTGTTTGTTTTTCTTGTATCTTCAGGTTCTAACTTACAAAGTTCCCTTCCTCTCTCCCTTCCTCTCTCTCTCCCTCCTTCTCTTTCTCTCTCTTTCTTTCTCCCTTCCCTTCCCTTCTCTTCCCTTCCCTTCCCTTCCCTTCTCTTTCCTTCCCTTCCCTTCCCTTCTTTACCCTTCCCTTCTTTCTTCTTTCACATGCCTGGTTATGTTTGTCTATTTTTTGTTGTTGTTGAAAAGTTTGAAACTTTGGATGCCACTATCTTTTTCCAAAAAGAAATGAGTTGTATCTTCTAAATTTCTGAGCATGAGGCCAGTCCATGACTACCAAAGTCAAAGCTTGAAGTTCTCTGAAAAACATAGACAATTCCAGTATAGCATTTAACTCTGAACTCGGGCTAGTCTACTTCCAGTTCACCCTCATTTTGAATGTATATTGTCCTTTGAGGATTGAGGATCAGCTAGCTTATTGTAGGGGGAGTTTTTTTTCACCTTAAGTTCTCCCTTCTGTAGGCTTAGGGCTTTGATTTCTATCTCTCCTGCCCTCACAAAAATGATAGCTCAAAATTGCCAATAGTAGCATGTCCTTGTGTCAAAACTTTCTTCTGTGCTCATTTATCTGTTTGGGTCCTGTTTTTCCTTGAATTTTGGCCTGGTAGCTTCTTTTCATCATGATGGCTCTGAAGTGACTTTAAGATGTTTATTCATATTTTGTTCAGAGTTTTAAGTTACTTCATTAGGAAAGTTAGTTAATTTAATCTATCTTACCATTGCTGGAAAAAGAAAATAATTCATGTCTCATTTAAATAGTGCATTGAGCTGGACTGATTTATGGTCACTTTAGTTTCATTAAGAAAAGAACTATTTTTGAAGGGAAGGTGGAAGTTGAGAAGAAATATAATTTTTAAAAATCTAAACTTATTTTTAAAATCCATAAAGAAAATAATTACAATTAGATTATATAAAGACTAAGAACATTTTCAATAAAAAAATTAAAAAGTCTAACAGAGAAGGAAATTGCAACATATGTGACAAAGAGCTAATTTTTTCTTATTGAAAAGGTTCCACAAATCAACAAGCAAAAGGTGAACTCCTCAAAAGGAAAATGGCCAAGACTATAATAGGCATCTCACAGAAAATAATATATGTGTGTGGTGAACATATGAAAAGATGTTCAGCTTCATCCATAATTAAGAATATGCAAGTTACAGGAACAATGGGTTAAATTTAACTCAAAAGAAATTTTAAGAGTTGACAAAAGTGCACACCTTTATTTGGGAAGGAAATACATGAAAATATTAACAGCTGTTACCTCTAAAAAGTAGGCCTGTGATTGAGTGAAGGGGAGAAAGACATTTTATTTTCATGATATATACTTTTATAGTATTTGAAAATTTTACTTAACGTATACATTATTAAATAAAAATTTTAAATTTTAGAGCCAAATGCCTAGATGTGTAATTTTTCTTTACAGTTTGGGAAGAGTTTGGCTATGTTCAAATTAATAGGGCCTAAAGAACCTTGACAATGTATATTGTCAATTTACTAACTAGCTGCTTGGTATATACAATTGTGAATGGAGCAAAAATGTTTGCTGAAAAATAAAGTGCAAATGATTATGCTTTCTGGATGTGGATTAAAGCTTTAGCAGCACAGATCAACAGAACATTCTTGGTATTATTTTTTTTTTCTATCACTTCCCATGACATGCAGAAGGCAGACAGAGTATAGTTTGTAGGTAGGTGTCTTCTTAGAAGTAGGGCCCTCATTTGTATACCTAGAATTAAGACAATTGGACCATCTTGAATGAAGTCTGGAATAAATTACTAGGTTGAATAAAGGTGTTCTTAACATTAAAAAAATTTAGGCCCTGGCCAAGTAGCTCATTTAGTTTAGAATGTGGTCCCTATACACCAAGGTTATGTGTTTGATCCCCAGTCAGGGCTCATACAAGAATCAATGAATGAATGCATCAATAAGTGGCACAACAAATTGGTATTTCTCTATCTTCCCCTCTTTCTCTCTCTAAGATCAATAAATTAAAACATTTAAATGATAAACATAGCTTTTGTCTTTCTATTTTTGTAGCATTGTGTTTCATTTTTGTTTTGTTTTAATTGCTGTTGTTTAGGGATGTGGCTTTTTAAAAATATCTGTTTTCTATTAATGAAGTTATTGACTCTTCCTTCCTGATCCCATTTGATTGGACTTAGATCCTTCCTGTTGAGCAGCTTTTCCCAGATATACTTGATACAATTACTTTAAGAATCAGAAATCCAGCTCATGCTTGAGATAGAGATAAGGCATATGGTTATAGTTCTAGAACTCAGATGTCCTCATAGTTGGCCTGTAGGATTTAAAACTATTGCAAAGAAGAAAAAGTCTTGTAGCACCCACCATAATTCATATTTTATGTATTTTTTACAGTGACCAAGCAAGATAGTTTGATTCTTTATAGTTGCACCAAACATAATGTAAGTTTTCTGATCATATCTGACCTTTGGATTAATGGGGAAAAAAGAATGAAATGTGTAAAGCTTTTGCAATATTCCTAACTTCACCTCAGGGAAAGAAATAGCCTAGTAGTATCATTCTAGAATAAATCTCAAAGTGTGTTTACTTTTTTAATTTCTAGGTGAAAAAATGTTTGTATCTCTGTATGGAGCTGCTATAGACATGAATATAAGGCTGGACAAGAATTCTTTGATCATTGAGAAAACCTACATATCTTTGGCCAATCAGCGAACTGTAACTATTTACAACCGCAGTAACATCATCGCCCATTTCCAGTGGAAGATATTTGCTACTCAGGAAGAGGAAGATAAAGAAAAGTATAGGTTTGTAAGAAAAATCACCTAGGTGCTGTAATTTGGGGAACACAAAACTCAGTTATTATTAAAAATCAGTGAGTTTTGTGGTAAGTTTTTAAGAAACTCAACAATGTCAAAAATGCTTAAATTGGTTCCAGTGTATGATGCTTCTTTTTCATTGAAAGAACTTGAATTGAGCTATGTGGCATTGTCCATTCTCAGTTAATCTTAACCTGGTTACAATTTATCAGTAGCCAAACTACTGGATTTTAAAGACCACCTATGTCATTTTTCACTATTTATTCCAAAGTGCTCAACACATCTATATTTCATTACATAGCCTTAAATAAATTGATAAGAACTGAATTGATCCCAATGAAAAGTTATTTCACTGAAAAGTTATTTCCAGAAAACAAAATAAGGAAAAAGAAGGGCTTATAGTCCCTGAATCCCTGCTAACCAAATAATTTAATAATGATTTCTTATTGGTATCTTTAATGTGCTTTTAAAAATGATACTTCAGACAGCAGAGGAAGTTAATAAAATGGAAAACCTAAATATTTTAACTAATCTCTTTATTGTTAAATTTTTAATATTTTTTACTGAATCTATTCTTGCCTCTTTTAAACTCTTTCCATCCTCCCTACATTAGCACTTTTGCTGCTTTCATTGGAATTTATTTCAGCCTTTTTTCTTTGCCTCTCCAATTTCATTAAAGATTAGCTCTGGGAAGCTTCAAAGCTTTGTTTAAAACCAAGTTAGTATGTGATAAAAATAAAAGTCTTAGGTCCATGGAAACCAGGCAGAAACCCCCACTGCGCTGCCCCTAATTGAATCAGAAGGAGCCATGACAATGAGCGGACACAGTGGAACCAGAAGCTTCATCATTCAGACAGTGAGCTTTAATCACTGGATTGCCACTGTGCCATCTTTAAAAAGTGAGCAAAGAAAAGCCTGTCCTGCCTAAAATCTTTAGTTTGCCTCATGGTATAGAAATACCAGTAGTTGAAAAAGGGAAGAGGAAACTGCTCATTTACTGCTTCATTTGTCCCAATTCCTCAGCCAACATATGTACCAATGATTAGAATGGCCCAAGTAAGTTTAAAGGTAAAATGAGAGTGCAGGTGCAAAGGGACAGCAGTAAACGTAGTGTTTAAATATCCTGCTTGTCCTGTAGGTGTAATCCCTTGGGGAGAATTAATATACACTATCAGAGGGGAAGGCAGCTGTCAACTCAACTATGTCTGTATTTTTGACTGTATGTATAGGACATGATTCATACCATGCCTATGTCCAAAAAATATTTAAGGACATTAATTTCAACTGTGAAACTCAAGAAGAATTCAAACCAATTGTCAGAGATGCTAAGGCACGGAGTATATAATTTCAACCACATGTGGATGGATGTTTTTTTCTTTTTTCCCCATTCCACCTCCCCCAACACTCACACCCTTATCTCTAATATTATCCTTGAGTTTTATTCCTTTTCTCTTGCATTGTCTGTCTTTCACTCTCTCTCTTACTCTTTCTATTAGTTCTTCTAGGAAATTTTTGGTAAGCAAAGGAATAATATGGGATAATATTTTCACAACCATGATTAGAAGCCTAATTTTATTATCTAGGATCATGCTCTCCCCTTAAACAATGAACTTGAAAAGTGGCTTCAGATGGCTAAATAAGAATACCTCCATTTTCACTGTGGGTGGCACATAGCAACATAACTCATGTTTGTCCAAACTGGATTGGCTGACTGAAGTGAAGAGTTTATTGAATGTTCTGCCCCGTACCTTCTCCCTCCCTCTCTCCTGGGCCCAGATGCCTGGGACAAGAATGGAAATTGATTTAGAAGGGGAAATAGGCCATTTATGCCTAATAATCTTATTTGAACAGATTGTCTCTTCTTTCTCATCTCTCTCTTATTCTTTAATATATCCCTAAGCATGTCACAACTTATGTTATTAGTCATAGGTTCTTGTCCGGGACATAACTAGCCATGAGATGCCCATACTCTCAAAAAGCAAGGCAATTACGGAGAGGTTTGTTCTTTACTGAACACTTAGTTCCTGTCTCTGGATAGCAGTCCCTCTGTAGGTGGCAGTGCTCTTGCTGTGGATATGGGTCCCCTTCTCCTCTAAGCCACAGATCCTCCAATCATATCTCATGCCACACACCAGTGGCAGATAATACATAATGCTCTGTAGTATTGTGCTTGTGGGCAGAGGTTTGCTCGTCCCTGAGAAGTAGCAGTCAGATCTTTAACTACTAGCATAAATCTTCTCTTGAGCTCCGCAATGAGGCCAGTGCAGGGATTCCTGGAATAATCCTCCTTATGTTTGACTCTCCTGCTCCTGATGGTGAGCAACCTATTCCTTTTCTTCCTTCAGCAGCCACTGCAGTTAAAAATGTAGAGAGGAAGTTCGACTTTGGTCCCAAACTTGGAACAGAGTGCATCTATTCTAAGTGGTCTTGTGCATACTTGACCTGAGGGATTATAAAACCTCCCACTATACTCATACTCATTCTCATCATAGCTTATTATATTCAGAGACTCAGCATAAGGTTTTGAAGATTTCTTTTCCCCATTTCTCCGTGAAGGTCATGAGCATTGTCTCAGTAGCATCTGGCTCTAATTCTAGATCTGCTCTGTGCAGGAACTACTAGTATCTTCAGTGGACTCCCACAAAGTGGTCAGCATGGATTTATTCCACAACATTCAGGAAGAGGAGAAGACATTTTTCTCTAGAAAGTTCAGTTTTCTTTGGGTTTTGGGCCTGCCACCCAGGTAGTAATAAATTTAATTTTGAGTGATATTTAGTAAACAGGAAGAAGGACCCCCAGTCCTCAGCTTATAACATCATCACAGAGTTGCTCAGTTACCAGGGTCTCATGGTCCATTTGAAGGTGGATGGCTCTATCCTTTCCATGCCAAATGTGGACATGGAGTATGTAGGCCATGGCTTTTAGTTTTTAATCTCCTTAGCACCTAATTACCACCTCTTGGGGATGCTGCAAAGGAGCAGTGTCCGTGGCACCTGAAGATGAGAAAGCATTGCTGGTTCAATGCTGCTATACCTGAGACACGAGTCTTCCCCATAGACTGTAGTTCATGGGCTGGACCATACTTGATGCCTGAAAGTGTTGGGTGTTGGTGGCTACCAAACCACTTGGAAAATAGGTTAAATCCACGGTTTAACAGAGAGAGAAAGCTGGTGTGTTGTTAAGCTCTCTGAAGAGGGGTGTCATTCATCTGTAGGACAGAACCATCTCTGAGACAGGAAACCATGAATATCATCAGGGAAAAAAAGTATTACAATAGATTAGAGGGTATATAGAAGCCTTCGTTGGAGTAAACCCAGCTCAAGGTGTTGTTGCATGTTTCCTTCTTAGTCTCTCAGTCATGGCTCCAGTTCTCCATCAGAGGGCAAAGAGGAAGACAGCTGGTACCTGCCTCTACCCACCCCCTTTGCATTATACAGCTGTTACTGATTTAAGAGTCCCGACAGCATGGGAGAAGGCCAATACTGGGGATTTTTTGTTCTGTTTTCTTTTCTTTTCTGGCTCAGGGGTTGAGTTAATCATACTCCTCAGTTCCTGGAGCATTGTCATCCTTGGCCCATGTGAGGCCTTTTATCCCCACACCCCACTTCCATTAAACCCCTAAATAAATGTAACATTTATGATTCCCATTATGTGTTTAACAAGTCCTTCAATCTGTTACATAAAACTTACCCACTTTTTTGGTATTATTGCTAGGACTTTGATGAACATCTTTGTAGCTATGTTTTCACTTATATCTGTTCCTTTAGTATTTACTTTTAAAGACAGGTGTAATAATTTTCACTTACAAGAACTGATGGTTTCCTTTCTTCCTGTGGACTGAGCTCTCTTGAATTTACGCTGCTCTGCCCAGCAGTGTAGAATGACTGCTGCTCTCATTACCTAAGACGCTGCTTCCCAAACAGCAGTAAAAGGGAGGCACCGAATGGTCTTCCCTGAGAGCCAGAACACACTGAACCCATTTCTTTGACACTTTTATGCTATGCAGCTCAAGGAGCCCGAACACCAAAATTATTAAAAAGAGCTATTTGACATTGCTAAGTGTGTGGCTTGCATAAAGTCATTTAGAAAATATTAATAGTTGGGGCTGGGACAAGAATTCAGTGACCCTAGGCTCTCACTGAGAGAACTAAATAATCTCTCTCTCATCATTTGTAATACCGCCCATATGCTGAGAAAATGGTCGTATGCCATGGGAGGAGATAAAATTCAGTCTCCAAAAATTCAGGTGAAGTAACTGGTACCAGGAGTAATGTGAACGCATCTGTGGTGAGGGCACTGAGTGAGGGTTGGGGAAGGCTGCTTTTCTGACTTATTACAAAGGATGTGAAGCCTGAAAAAGAGAGAAAATGCATGGCAACTGCTGGTGGTTGACACAGGGAACAAACTGGTATTTATTGAGTACCTGCTTTGTCCCTCTGTACCAGGTCCCTGACCACATTTTATCCTCAGCACATCTTTATGATGGAGAGCTAATATTTTACAGGTAAAGGTGCTAAGGCATAGAGAAATTCGGTAACTCCCAAAGTCACTGAGCTAGTAAATAGATAGTAGAATCAATACCCAAACTTCGTCTTCGCTGGTTTTTGATTCTGTTCTCCAGGTAACTTAACAGCTAAGAAAGAATTAAAGCTAAACGAGTTTAAAAGAAACAAAATAGTCCTTGAAGTGTGAGAGGTAGAGTAGATGTTAAGTGTTTAAAAAGGAACATGGAAAATGCCATTAGCTAAAATTAAATATTTGTCCTTTAATGGTATCCAAATATGCATAAGGGCTCAGAAGTAAGCAAGGGGAGGACAGAAAGCCCAGGAGAACTTCTTGAAGGAAGTGACTAAAGAGCAAACTGAGGCTCTTAAGAAGTTAAAGTATGAGGTCACTCTGATGGCATAATACACACTCAGGGCAAGGAGGGACCACCCCGGGGTGATGGGTGAGATCATTCCCAGGATGCTGGACTGGAGAGGGGCCCCTCACAGTGGGCTTCATGGGAGTCCCAAAACGAATCTCACATTTTCTGTTTTCCTTCAGGATCTGTACGGAGCTCATCAAAGAAGAAAAGAATGAGACCGATGAGTTTCTTGAAGAGTGTATTATCGATCCTTCACTCCGAGAACGTCTTTCCATTCTCTCCCGCACCTTTGAGAATCAGAGAGGTCTGGTTCAGTCAGACAGCATGCTCTTCTTGAATAACATTTTCATTATTGAGCCTCTGGTGAGCACATATATACAATCTGACTATACAGTAAACATAAGTGGGAGTACAGGGCTTATTTTAATGTGAGTACTCATTTTGGGATTGATATAGTAAGTTCTGAGAGCATCTAAAGACACTATCTGAAGAGCCTCATCATCATGGGGAGACAATGAATGAAGGTTAATGTTAACAATGTTCATAGGTTACATTTATAGTTACACTTTCCATGCACCAATCACTGTTAAACACTTTGTATGTATTACTAGGTTTATTTTATTTGGAGATATGTTCTATCAGTTATAGTCAGTCCCTCATTCTACAGTTGAAAAAACTGGGACTTAGAGAATTTGATGACTTACTCGGGTAAGCAGTTAGTAGTTAAGAAATTTATCTCTGATTAGACTGACTCTAGAGTAGGGTTTCTCAACCTCTGCATTATTGACATTTGGGACTGGATAATTCTTTTTCCTGTAGGTTGTGGGATATATAATAGCAACCTGGATTTTTACCCATAAGATGCTAGTTGTGACAACCAAAACTGTCTCTGGATATTGCCAGATGTCCTCTGCCAGGCAAAATTGCTTGCTTGAAAATGACTTTGTCCTTATTCACTCAATAAATACTTATTGACTGCATGTTCTGTACCAGGCACTCTGTGTGTACCAGACATTGATGAACAAAACAGACATAGTCCTCAATCTCACTGCCTATCTAGTGAGAGCAGAACCAGAGTTAGAATGTGGTTTGTCTGATTCCAAAGACAAACTTTTGACCACTCTGCTTCACTGTCTCAAAGTGAAAGTAGCTAGCATCTTCTGTATTTACCATGTCCTAGACACTGTGCATTGCCTCACACTTAGCAAGCATAGAGTGAGCTGAGTATAGAGGCAGCAGTGGTAATTGAGAAAGCCCACAGCTAGTTAAAGCTGCTAGGCTGTTACCATTCACACCAGTTGGAGAGAAGACGTGCCACAAGGACACATTAGAATACAAGGTCACTTGTGGGAAATACCACTGACATGTGTAGACCTGTTTTCCTTATGTCTGCACTTCCAAATTTTTATTAAAGGATATAACATAGAAAAGGGATTCCATGGTGAAATAAATTTCAGAAAAAAAATGGATTCAGTATTGTTTGAAATATACTGTAAGAAGTCTAAATGTCTTTAATATTATAATACGTATCGTAATCTCTGAGAGGGAGCCTTCCCCTTGGAAACCTCTGTTGTTCTGTGAGGCCTGCTGCTGGACTCGCTAATGAAGACAGTCAGCACACTAGTTCAGAGGCTGAGATGATTATTGGAATAAGAAGCTAGAGGAGGCTTCTTGAGAGCAGAGCCTTGAACTGGATCTTACAAGATGGGACTTTTGGAAAACAAAATTGGGGACGTGCATGGTGTGACTCATTTAAGCATCCAGGAATGGATCAGGTTGTTTGAAGTAAAGGGTTCACATAGGAAAATAAGGTTGGAGAAGTGGGGTTGAAGCTGAATCTCCTTTCACATCAGAATACTGTCCACTATTTAATTGAGGAAAAGAATCTTCAGATATGATGGATTAAACCAGTGAGAGGTTAAATAAAGATGAACATACAGTCTTGGAAGGACAAGACAGATACCAGTTAAAATAAGTCAAGCCCAAAGATGTTGAAGAAATTAGGAAGGCATTACAAGTCTCAGCAAGCAAATGGCTGAGCAGGATGGAGGCCGGGAGGAGCAAACAGTCATGGCAACCTTAGACATGCCAGGAGTCTTTTCAGTCGGTACTAGAGATTTAGGCTGATGAGTGCTGTCCTGTTCCTCATGTCATTCTGGGAGCGGGTGACTCATAGCAAACATGGGTGGTCAGGGAGAAGTGGGAGGCCCACGGGTGAGTCTCGTACATTTCCAGTCCAAAAGTAGGCAGGCTAGAGTTACCTCAGATTTTCTTCTCCTCCAGCTCACTTCTATTACCCAACGCTTCCTGATGGAAATACATGTGTATCAAAATAAGGGATTAAATTATGATTGCTTTTGAATTCTAGATAGGAACTGAGTTGGGCATTATCACAAGGCATCTTTTCACCATTAGGATGAAAAACATTCTTTAAAAGAGTGATATACAGAAACTGTATCTTTTAAATGAGACTAATTTTGATTATATTGTGTGAAAAAGATCTCCAGAAACAGGAAGGGGTGATAAGGGTATAGTGATGTTTATAGCATCTGTAATGATTTTGTCTTTTCTGTACACTGTTCGGGTTTTCTTATTCATTATCTTGTTCTTGGCAATTTTTGCAAAATGAAAATGAAGGCATGAAACTTTCCTGTTGTCTTCATAAAGTTATTCTGGTCAAAACAGCAGAACTAAGTGTCAGTTATAGTGAATTATTTATTGATATTAAATCTTTTTCCTCTCCTACTGAAAGACCCTGCAAGTTTTATAGAAATTCAGTTCTTGTGAGTATAATATAATCTTACCTTGTAAATACAGTTCTTGTAAGTGTAATATAACCTTACCTTATAAATTACTTTTGAAGATATTTGATGGGAAAATCTGACCATTTTATTAGCTTCTTGACCCAAATGTGAATTATGGGTATTTCCCACTGTTCAGATTTTGGTTTTCTGATACAGATAAATAAATGCTATAGTAGTTTAGGATGAGAGAGTTTGGAAAGGATTTATAGAAGAGGTGTGAAATGAACTATGTATTAGAGGAAGGATAAGATTTAATTAAGTGGAGAGGAAGAAGGAAAATCTTTCTAGTTGAAGAAATTACAAAAACAAAGAAAAGGGAAATTATTAGTTTCGTGGCATATTATATAACAAAAAAAAAATGACTAGTTATTCTGGAACAGGCAGTCATGGAGAATATAAGAAATAAGATGAGGAAGGAGCCTAGAGGAAATCTGGGCAGCCTGGTCATCCTGTTGTGCCCTAGCCTATAGTGTGTTTCCGCAAACACTGGATCTAAAGGGTGGTAATGTGTGTTCCTTGGAAAAGGAAGTTTTGTGGTCAAATAAATTTGGGAAATATGGGTTCAAGAGAAGATTTCTCTCCAAGTGGAAGAGTGCAAACAGAGTTTCCCCATGGGCAGAGACCCCTTTTCCCACACAGGGTGCCGAGGGTGTCTGAGACTCACTGCAGGGCTCAGAGCAGGAGCATGGGTGTTCAAGGTGTTTTAGGGATATTATCTTGGTAGCCGCCTGTGGATCAAATTGAAGGATAGTGGATAGAGAGTGGGAGGATGGATGCAGGTCAGGTAGGAGAAATGTGCTCATGCTGGGGGGTGGGCGTCAGGGAGACCGAATCACTGCCAGCAAATTCAAGGGGACGTGTGAGAGTGATGCTGACCTGGATGGGGGGCCTGGGGAGGGTCGGAAGGCAACGGAAGCGGCAGGCGTGAGAGACGTTCAAAAGAAAGGCATTTAAATTAAGAAGTACAAATTGGTAGTTATAAAATAGTCATGGGGATGTAAAATACAGCATAGGGAATATAGTCAATAATATTGTAATAACTATGTGTGGTGCCAAGTGGGTACTAGACTTATCAGGGGTATTACTTCATAAATTATGTAAATGTCTAACAGCCATGCTGTACACACAAAACTAATATAAAATAATATTGAACGTCAACTATAGTTGACAAGTAAAAAAAAGAAAGAAAAAAAGGCATTAAAGTGAAACATGGCAACGAATCATCTGTCTCCTCAGAATTTAAACTGGAGTAGCTGGGAGAATTATGATGCCTTTGACAGAAGTTAGCAAGTCAGGAGTCCTGGATTTACCTCCTAATGTTGCCAATAGCAAATATGACCTTAAATAAGCCATTCCATCTTTCTAGGCTTCAGTTGCTGTATATACAAAATACATTTCTTTTGGTTTTATTTGTTTTTGTGGTGTGTTTTTTTTGTTTGTTTGTTTGTTTTTAAGGATAGGATACTTAGATCCAGTTTGGGAACAGACTCTGAGCTCCTTAAGGCCGAAGTGTCTTGTCTTCATTGGGGCCCCAGGCGTACCACAGGGCCAATGAAAGGAAAGAAAGAAAGGAGAGAGGAAGGGAGGTCAGTTGATGATGATGAGTTTGGTTTGGAACATGTTGAATTTCAGATGACAATAAATATTCAAAAAGTTTAGAAATGCAGTGCTAAATTTGTGGGAGGGCAATCAGGAGTGGAGGTAAGGTGTGTGAGAATCTTATACAGATCTTCATTGAAGGCATGAAAAGCAGATGGAAATTCTAAGAGCAGATTGAAGGAAAATTGCAGAGGACCCAAGAGAGCCCCCAAATGCTGACCTTTAGAGACTGCAAAGTGAGAAGAGGCTGTGAATTCATGGATAAGGATGGCTAAGAGGGGAACCTGCCAGCTGAGAGCTCATCAGCCTGTCTTACTTGTCTTTCTACCCTTCTATGGTTGGTTCATTGCTATTTTCTACTGAAGGTCTCCTGAATCTTGCTCATGTAGCAGATCAGTTATGCCAAAGCCACTATTTAACTTCTGACAGTTGAGCTATGTATCAGCAATTAGTTTTTTTTATTAGAGTGTGATTCCTTTTAATTAGCTTCTTGATATGAGTTGAGTTCACAGAAGCAAAGATTAAAATCACACAGTGTTACTTACTGATTGAACAGTCAATCTCTAATTGATATCCTCTTCAAAAAATAAAAGTAAAATAAAAGATTGATCTAGTGACTTAGACCACCTTGTTTTCTTTTGACCTCTTAAGCTTCTATGCTCACTGAAGAACACTGTCTTCAAATGAGATAAATGTAAAAAGTGGGGGAACCCTGTTACCTTAGTGTCTGAAAAGAAAAAAGAAATGATATGCTTATTTTTTCAGGCCTACCTTAGTGTCTGAAAAGAAAAAAGAAATGATGATCTCACCTATAAGCGGAACCTAACCAACAATGCAAAGAAGCAAGGCAAATATGGCCAGCAACACTGAAAGGAAAAGAAATCAACAGAGACAAGAGGGAAGGGGGGGGGCAGGGAAAGGGAAGGGAAGGGGAAAGTCAAGGAACGTATAGCAAGGACT